TTCCAGGATGCCATCTTGGCATCCATGGCTGCCTGCCACTTAGAGGAGTAAGGACCCGTAATCGCCTCTGCGTAAGAGCGCGGGGTCGGGATGTCTGGTGCATCCGGGTCTCCCTCAGGGGCAAGCAGCATGGAAGCGAAACGAGGTACAGCAGCTGCAAGACACTCAAAGTCCTCCTGCCTGTCCTCAAGGACGTTCGTGCCAAGAGCACACTCACCCCCGACGGACGGAGGACTGGCAGACTCAGAATCAGCAACAAGAGCAGTGGCATAGTCTAGACGACAGGCAGCAGCAAAGTCAACCAGCTCAGCAGTGGACTCAAAAGACGGGTCAGTGACAACAGCGGTGAGGAGACGAGAGACAGTGGGACTGGCAGCACGAGCGCGGTCAAACTCAGGGTCAGGGACGGCAGAAAGAGAGGACTCAGGAGGAGCAGGCAGAGGAACACGCAGTGGAACAGAGGAAGGACGAAGTGCCATAGCGTGTTTGCCGGGGACAGGAGGAGGACGCGTACGAGGAATGCGACGACCAGTGCGAACAGAGGAGGCAGGACGAGACGAAGGCTCAAGATGCTCGGTAAGGCCACCGGGCTGCTCAGAGTATGGAGAAGGAGCAGGCACTGGGGAGGCTGGCTGTAATAGCGGCTTCAACTAGTCAGGCGGTGGACACAGGAAGGGAGGAGTCAGGCCAGGAGAAGACGGGACACCAAGAACTTGCTGAAGCAGGGGAACGAAGTACGGTCGCGACCACAAAGTCTCTCCAGCACCAGTACCACCAGAACCTCCAGCTCCAGCACCTCCAGCTCCAGGGTGAACAGCTCCAGCTCCTCCAGCTCCAGCGCCTCCCGCGCCAGTGCCTCCAGCTCCAACGCCACTAGCTCAAGCTCCTCCAGCTCCAGCTCCACCAGCACCAGTGCCTACAGCTCTAGCGCCTCCAGGCTCCGTAGGGTCTCTAGCTCCAGCGCCCCCAACATCACCAGTCCCGTCAGCTCCATTACCCTTGCTACGAGCACCTCCAGGACCAGCAGCCACAACACCTCCAGCACGACCAGCTCCAGCAGTAACTCCAGCACCTCTAGCTCCAGTGTGTCCAGCGGCGCACTGCCGCCCCTCGACGCAAGGAATGCTGGGCGGGGCAGGCGAGGGCGGGAGGGGAGGCAAAGACCTGGGAAGACCAGAGACAAGGAGGCGGGAGTGCATGCCACGCAGGCGTGGCAGGGAGGGGTGACCCAGGCGGTGGTGCCACAGAAGAGTCTGGTGCGACAGGAGGCGACACGAGCAAGGGGGTGCTACCTGACCTGACGCGGACACCTGGGCAGACGCAACTACCTGAGGAGGCTCGGTAGCCAGTGTGTACAGACTCGACCCAGGACGACGGGTGAACGTGGCCAGGTGACGGCCCGTGCGTGTACACGTGCAGATCGACACACGTTGACCCCCAGGAGTGGTGGTACTGACCATTGCATACTGGAGGGCAGCTGTACTCACCAAGTTCGTAGAGAACGAGGGGAGGTGAAGACCTGAGAGTGAGCCGGACAAAACCGCCGGACACGGGAGAACATTGGAGGAACGGGCAAAGATTGGGCCCCCGGAGGGGTCAGCCAGTCTGACCTGTACAGGTGCAGAGAGAGGAGTGAGGGTGGTGCTGTCACGAAAGAAACAGCGTGAGGCACCTGAGTCAAGTGTGAAGGTGTGTAAGGCCTTAGCAGGCGCAGTACTAGGGAGAGCAGACTCACTAGCACCTAGAGCAGCAGCCTCTATACCTGGATCAGGCGGCACACACAGGTAAAAGTCACCCTCAGCACTAACAGACAAAGCACACATTGCAGCAAGGATAACATCAAAGTCTAGGTCATAGATAGCAACTCCAGACCTAAGTAGCTCTGCCCAGCGGGGATGCTCGGCCTCGTCACCAAACTCTGCACGCCAAGCGTCGTCGAGGCGGAAGAAGCAGCGGTGCTGAGTGTGAGGCTTCCCGCATGTCTGACCAGCACGGTCACCTGTGCGAATGACATACGGGCAGCTACCACTACCCCCAGACGCCCCACGCTGAGAAAACCACTCACGAAGCTGCTGAGGCGACGGGGTCTCGCTCCGACGCTGCTGCTGCTGCTGCCGCTGGCCACCTCCCGAACCTCCACGCTGAATAGTTCCAGCCATACCGCCACCACTCCCACTGCCGCCACTGCCGCCACTACCGCCACCCCTACCGCTGCCACCGCCGACTCCACCAAAGCCCCCACTCCCGCCACCACTCCCACCACCGCCACCACCTCCACTGCCTCCACCACCTCCACTGCTGCCCCCACCACCACCCCCGCTGCCACCGCCACCACCCCTGCCACCCTTGCCCTTGCTGCTGCGGCGCTTCGCACTAGCAGAAGCAGCCCCGACGTCCTCAGCACCAAGGACGTCAACAGCAGCAGCAGAGGCGTAGGAGGGAGCAAGAGGGGAGGGGGGGCACCCCTCAAAGAAGGGTGTGCGCGGAGTGCCACGAGCAGCACCTACAACGACTACACTAGTCTCAGCTGCAAGGAGGTGCTGCTCGAGTAGGTCAACACTAAGGACTGTGGGGTCAAGGGAGAGAAAGTGGTCCCTAACAGAGCGGAGAGTCAGGGAGGCGGGTGACTATAAAGTAGAGAGTGATGAACATCGGGGGTTGGTTCTTGTCAAGGAACTCAGCAGGGGCGGCAGCACAGTAGCGAGCGTCGCTAGTGCGAAGATGGGAAACCAGGTCCTCTACCATGGCAAAGGCGGACAGCTCGGGAAACAGGTAGGGCAGTAGAAGACGGCCTAGAGCAGTAGTGGCAGGCGAGGAGTAACAGGCGACTACAGCGTCGTACAGTGTCTGTGTTGTCCTGTGCTGTCCGAAGTGAGCGCATTCGGCTAACGGCAGGTGGTTGCGAATGGCTAAGTGAGCAGCAGCGTCACGAGTAAGCCACTGTGAGCGAGTCGTACTGTCAGTTGTGGCGGGAGGGGCGGGAGCAGCACCAGACGTGTGGTCAAACAACGAAACGCTGTCCCTAGAGTCGCTCAGTAGGTATAGATTTTCAGTTGTCAAGCCACGTGTCAAACTGGATCGGGCGGCCCTCATGATCGAATGCTAGAACGCGGAGAGAAGCCATAGCGGCGCAGCACGCAGGGCGGGCAGAAGCCGGCAGCGCAGGGAACAGGGCAGGCAACAGAGAGGGGGGCGGCAAGCAGGCTGCAAGAGAGGCGGCTCGAGGGCCGAGGGGTGGCTAGCAGGGCAGCAGGGGCGGCTAGGGGTCCACCAGGGGCGGCGCGCGGAGCTGCAAGGGCGGCTCGCGGGCTGCAGGGGCGAAGGGGCGGGCCGCAAGCGGCGGCGCGCGTGGCCTGGGGTCGGTGGGTTCGTTCTCTTTCAACTTATTAACAAGGTCATTACAAAGACTTCATTGTCTTCTCTCAAACTTGATAGACTTATCCTATCCACTACGATCCTTCACTTGTATAACAACACAATCAAGAACTGCTCTGCCTATCGAACCTTTTCAAACCAATCCTACCCTTTTGGACTCCTGTATGCCCAAGTCTCTCTTTTTGTAAATCAATTAGCCATTATCCCATCTACTCCATGATCCATCGTTTTACGATCACAAAACTATTTATCAATACAAAAAAAATTGTGAGCTACCCTATCTTGATATAATCAAATGGTGACTCCTATGCCAATATATGCCTCCTATGTCAGCTTTGTCTTGCTCTCTCTCAGCCATACCATTGTGGCCAGTGTTGTCTCATACGGCCTAGTGGTGAGAGTCAGGGGGTGGATCATATCATTCTCCCATGCTATTTCCCTCAGCTCTTTCCTGTGCTCTCTCAGCCATGACCCAGTGTCAGCCACATTGACTCCTTGCTTATACAATAGATGCCCTAGATTCAAAGGGTCAGCGCATGTCAGCCATTCAGCCCTCTCCTATGCTTTCTCAGCCATGCCACCGTGTCAGGCACTGTTGTCTCATGCGGGAGAGGGGTGGACGTCAAAGTGACTCGTGCTCAATCGCTCAGCTCACTCCCTTGTGCTCTCTTAGCTAACGTTAACTGGTTTCTTCTCTCTTCCTGCCCACACTGCTCCTTCAGATTGGGTGAGACCAGGATGTATAAACCAAGAGTGCAGGGAGTAGGACCCAGGAAGCACTAGGGTCCAGAGAGACAGGAGTGCAAGCAGGCCGTTTAATCAGTGAAGGATGTGGCAAGGGTGATACGCGCGGACACAGTGCTGTACTAACAGGGTGGAAAAATGTTTGTGATTCCACTGAATCGACCCTCTCACAAATGCATGCACCACCTAACCCTCACACACACACGCATGCACCAGCCCAAGAAACGCTACCCTGCTACACTAGAGAGACAACGGAAAGAAGGTAGTGCAGATATTTGCATGTCCCAGCATATTCACGCTGCTGCTTGCACATCTACTGCTTCTGTTCTGCATGATGCAGTTCAGCAGGCCGGGGAACCAGCTGGATATCCCAAGCACTTCCAAAGGTGGCGCCGCTGCCTTTTGCGGATCAATTCTTCTGTTCTGGATTATGCGGTTCAGCAGGCGCCAGCACCAGCATGGTGCAGGTCAACAGGCGCAGCACCACAGTTACGTTACAAAGCTAACAATGGCAGCTCGTGCCATCACGGCAGCAGTTAGACTAGCTAACAATGCCCCAATTGCTCCGCTATGGCTGCATGCTCACACCCCAGGCGTCACACCACGCCACGGCCGCGCCCTGGCCATGCCACAGCCACACAAGGCCACGCATCGCATCACACCACACCACCATGGCACACATCCGACCAGAACACTCCACCACTCCATGCACCACATCTCACCACTCCATGCACCACATCTCACCACGCCATGCACCACATCTCACCACTCCACCACGTCACGCAACACACCACACCACACCACACCACATCACACCCCACACAAGGCCACCAAACCACAACCCACGCCACGCACCACACCACACCATGCTTCGTCGCTGTTTATGGCTGTGGCTGCCCCAGCACTGGCAGGTGCGCTACTCCCGCGCCCCCCGCGCCAAAGCTCCCAATTTCCTCCATCGTCGCGGTGTGTGCGTGGCGCGCAATCGTTCCGGCTCCCGCCATCAGTCCCCCCGCCACTCCGCCAACAACGAGCCCCGCAGCCGTATTCGCTAGCACTTCATGCCCGTGATTGATCACCGCTTTGTGCGCGATCCTCCCCGCGCTGCGCGTCAAGTCCGACGCGCTCTTCGTCAGAGTCTTACCCGGGTTGTTTGCCACATAGTCGGCCGCGTCTCTGGCGGCCGCGGCGCTGTTTTGGACACCCTCCGCGAAGCTGTTGCTGGCGCTGATGGCATTTTTTCGGGCGGCATCGACACTGTTTATGACACCATTCGTGAACGAGGTCCCTGCGTTCGAGAAGCTGTTACTGAGTCCCTTCGTCCATCCGCTGAAATATCCTCCTCCTGGCTTTGAGCCAGCCACGGGTTCAGCCGCACGATCAGCCGCGCTGTTACTCGCGGGGTTACTACCCGCGCGGTCATTCGTGGTAGCCCCCATTGCCCAATGGAAGCCCTCTTCCTCCTCCTCCCCGCCGCCGCGCGCCTTGTCCAGTTTCACCGAATTTGCAGACGAGTCAGCCCCTCCCCCCAAGTGGGAGGGCAATTCCTCCTCCTCCTCCAAGCTGCGCGCCTTATCCAGGTTCGCCGAATTTGCAGCAGTCGCCACGTCGTAACGTTCCGCCAGTCTGCGGGGGGGCTGCAGAGCCGCATTCGCGTCGATCTTGGGGGCACCGGGACGGGCCGATGCTGCCGCCGCGTGGAGGGAGGACAGGCTCGCGAAGGTTAGCGCGAGGACAAAAGCGAAGCGAAGACTCTTCGTTTGGGCACCCATTGCTGCGGCCGCGTCTTACGTTCTGTACAAATGAGATCAATGGGTGATAAGCCAATCTCGATCGACAGCTTGTCGGTTGGCTGTTACTAGTCACTAGTGCTCATAGTGTGGAGTGATGGCTGAACTGAGTACAGGTTACTGGACAAACGACTCAAAAAGGCAGTGACGCTGCTTACCGCCCGAGGCGGCTTGTCTGTTCACTACGGCTCGTCTGGCCACTCTTGACACGACCAGTATGCTCTCCACTCCTCACACTTCGACAATAATTCATGTTATGATGTCTGAAAGGGGGTTCCGCCAATGGGGGGGGGGAATTTGCCCATGTCCCCTGCGCCAACTGCGCTAACAGGGTGGGCATACAGGGTGCGCTAACAATAATCGTGCACTGACTAGCAGTGTGGGGGGGGGGGACATAATTCGAGCCAGCGCGTTCCCCGAGGTGGGTGGGGTGGGGTGAACAGGTGTGTGTAGGTGTGGTGCTGTTGAGCCGCGCAATGTTGGGAGCATCGCATCACACATTCAACAAGTCCTCTCGCCGCATAATGCGGCGACAGCGGAACTTGCGCTGTCCAATACAGGTTTGCGCTTCGCCAATAATTGAACTGTAAGGAAAATTCCTTTTCCTTACTTTGCGTCCCTGCTCAGCACGTACACCACTCTTTCCCGCCAACAGCACCCCACAATCATCCGTTACCACTCGCGACATTCGCCTCGACACTATTCCCGCCACTGTCCACGACGCGACCCAACCTCACGGTTCGGTTGGTAACCCGCGCTCTGGACCTCCGCCTCGACAATTCCCGACCTTGGCACAAGGCCCGTCGCGCACCCCATTTTCCACGTTACCGTTACCACTGTAGCTTCGCTATATATTCTTCGCTCAATCCTTCGCTCATTGTATTCTCGTCTCGATAGTGCAATCCTCGCTCGCTCATCCATTGCACTCGTAGCACTTGGTTATCAGAGCCTACGATCTTCTCTCGGACCGCACCCACACCTTCGCTTCCCCACTATCTCGATTTTTTGGGGGGGGGTAGACGTCTCTGAGCGACCAAGCACTGCCGCTCGTAGTGCTCTCTCGTAAGCACGCACGACCACGACAGAGGCTCTCGCTGAGCTTGCCCGACACCCCCGCCATGGCTGAAATGACTCTCGCGACACTGACGCAAGCACAGCTTGACCGTCTCGTGCGCCAATTCGAGGATTCGGCCCTCGAAATCGCTACGTTCACGGCGGAACGCGACTCCGCACGCCAGCAATCGACATTGAATGCATCAGCACCAACAAATGCACCCGCACAATCAGAGGAGCCGATTGTCATCTCATCAGGCACACCGACACAGAACGACAGCGTGGGACAACGCTCAGGCGTAGCCAGTGATGGCGCCACTCCCTCAATGCCTGGCATGGAGAGAAGTAGGGCCGCACCAAGCCCGTGGGAGCCTCGCGAAGCCCGTCGGCACGTGGAATTTGCAGCGACAAGTGGCGAGCACGCCAGCATGGCACCAATGCCACTCAAGCTGCAGCGCCCGCCCTGTTTCGACCCGAGCCAACGTGGAGGTCCGACGGTTCAATCGTGGGTCTTCACGATGAACGTCTTCTTCGACGCAAATTACGTCGAGTCGGACACAGCGAAGATTCGCTACGTTGTTTCGCTGCTGAGGGGCCCCGCCATGGACTGGTGGCGAGTCATCGTGGCGTCGCCACGCGCCTACGAGCCACCGTCGCAAGAGGAAGGGCCAACGGGCCCAGCCGTCACCTGGAGTTCATTTTGCGAGACAGCCTAGTACAGCACGTCGGATGCGTGGTGCGCAGGGCTTCGGACGCGTTTCGAGCCGATTGCGGCTTCGATTTTGGCGCATCAGAGATTGCGTACTTGGCGGCAGCTCGGATCGGTTCAAGACTATACGAGTGGTTTTCTCGCATTATGCGAGCAAGTCGGCTACATGCACGAAGCGGAGCGGGTGGACCGTTACGTCGGAGGGCTGAAGCCGGACATCTCGCACAAAATCATGCTACGCGGGCTTTCGAATTTTAACGAGATCCTCGCGCTCGCCGAGAAAATCGACATTCTGCGACGGCCGAGACCAGGGTCCTACCACGGACATCGTCCTCGGGGACCAATCGAGCACGCCACCGTACACGCCGTTGCGACGAATGCATCTGCCGCACCGTTTAGGGGGCGCTGCTTTGCTTGCAATCAGCCGGGCCATCGCAAGAGCGAATGCCCAGAGGAGCTGAGGCGTCGCGGAACAGAGCAGGGGCAGGAGTCTCAGAGGCCGGGAAACGCCAGCAGTCAGTAGGAGTTAGGACACTATCGACGAGACTGCATGCTCGCCCAACCTCACCGACCCTCACCGAGTCACAGTACCGACGGAGACGCAAGTAATAGCTTAGTTAATACCGCGACTGCACGGAAGCTGCAACTAGCACTTAGCCGGTGTTTATTGGAGATAGATGCACGCTTAGTTGACGGAACGCCGCTGGCCATACGGGATAAAGTGGAAAGAGTAAAAGTCCGCTGCGGGGGGAACTTCGGGTTTACACAGGAAATGCTCGCGACGACATTGGATGGGCACGACATTTTACTAGGACGTGATTGGCTGCGATGGTACAACCCGCGAATTGACTGGCCGACGGGTAGCTGCACTGTGCGAAGTAGCGGCAACTGGGTTGAAATACCTCGCTGGCAGTCGCCCGAGTCTTCAACGGTCCACATCAACACCATCACAATGAAACGGGCTATCACCGCTAGAGCTGAGGTGTACGCGGTGGATATTGCAGTGGTGAAAGAAGCAGAGCAGCCGAGCGATTTTAAGAAACTACTAGCGGCGGTACCACCCGAACTACAAGAACTGTTGAAACGGTACCCGTAGATTTTTCCCGACGACTTACCGGAGGGACTGCCACCTCGGCGAGCACACGATCACTGAATAGAATTAGAACCCGGGGCACAGCCTGTCAAACTTATATGCTATAGTCTGTCTAGGCTGTAGTGGGGTAACTCATATAAGGTACAACACTTTTAGGTTTCCTACTTGTACCCACCTGTTTGCTAGTTCAGTCATTCCTTCCTTCACTATTCTGACATGGTATTCTGAGCAGGTTCCCTCGTGGGAACGTTTTTTTAGGGCCCGCCACGATCACTTTTTTTTTTCTTGCCCTGCCCGAAGCGCGCTTCGCGCCTGCCTCACCTGCGCCGTCGCGCGCCCTGCCCTAGAGCCGCCCGTCGCGGCCCTGCCTTCTCGGCCTGTCGCGGCCCTGCCTTCTCGGCCTGTCGCGGCCCTGCCCTACCGGCCCGTCGCGGCCCCTACCGTCGCGGCCCCTGCCGTCGCGGCCCCTGCCGTCGCAGCCCCTGCTGTCGCGGCCCCTGCAGTCGCGGCCCCTGCAGTCGCGGCCCCTGCAGTCGCGGCCCCTGCCGTCGTGGCCCCTGCTGTCGCGGCCCCTGCCGTCGCGGCCCTGCCCTACCCTGCCGTCCAGCCGCGGCCCTGCCCTGCTGCCGCCCTGTCGCGGCCCTGCTCTACCGCCGCCAAGTAGCGGCCCTGCCCTGCTACCGCCCCAGTCGCGGCCCTGACCTAACCGCCAGCTGCGGCCCTGCCCTACACCCGCCCCTGGTAAGCACCCGTGCCGCCCAGCCGAGCCGCGCCGCCCTGCCGCGCCGTGCCGCCTAGAGCCGAGCTCCGCCGCCCAGCCGAGCCGCGCCGCCCTACCGAGCCGCGCCGCCCTGCCGAGCCGCGCCGCCCTACTGAGCCGCACTGCCCTGCCCACGCTGCTCCTGCTGCTACTGCTGTTTCTGCTGCCACTGCTGCTACTGCCGCTATGGCTAGCCCTACTGTTCTTACCTTTGATGCTGAGGGGCATGCGGTTGACTTTGACGTGTGGGTTGACGACCTCCAGCTCTTTCTTCAGTATGACTCTAAGGACGGAGTGTCCCTTTTCGATCACACGTCCGGTGTCTCTCCTGCACCTGCTGCCACTGCTGACAGTACGGTTCTCTTGCAGTGGACCTCTTGTGACGCTGTTGCTCGCCTTGCTGTTCGTAGTCACCTGCCGTCTTCTGAGCGCGCGCACTTTGGCCAGTACAAGACTGCTAAGTCTTTGTATGACGCTGTAGTAGCACGCTACTCCTCCCCTACCACTGCTGCCCTCAGCCGTCTCATGCTGCCGTACCTGTTCCCTGACCTTGCCACCTTTGCCACAGTCGCTGACCTCATTACTCACCTCCACACTAGTGACGCCCGCTACCGCTCTGCCCTTCCCACTGAGTTCTGTGCCAACAACCCTCCCCCCATGTACATCACCGTTTACTACCTAGTCACCCGCCTTCCTGACTCCCTTGCTTCAGTCAGGGACCACTTTCTCTCCCTTTGCCCCACCGAGCTCACCGTCGACCTGCTAGAGGAGCGCCTCACTGCAGCTGAGAAGAGTATCGTTGCTGTAGGTGCTTCTCGCGGCGACCCTCGCGCCCCTTTCTTTGAGGGTTGTTCCCCTGTCCCCCTACTCCCCTCTATTGCTTCTGCTGCTGCTGTCGACCTCGTTGGCGCGGAGGTCGGGGCTGCGTCTGCTCCTAGTGGGAGGCGCCGCAACATCAAGGGCAAGGGTGGTGGAGGGGACGGTGGGGGCGGCGGTGGAGGCGGTGGAGGAGGCGGAGGGGGTGGCGGTGGAGGTGGGGGTGGTGGCGGGAGTGGGGGCTTCGGTGGCGGCGGTGGGGGTGGTGGAGGCAGCGGCAGCCGCGGTGGAGGCAGCGGCAGCGGTGGTGGAGGTGGCGGCGGCGGTGGAGCCACGCAGCGTGTTGGTGGTAGCCAGCGCTAGCAGCAGCCGCGTTCCCGTGAGACCCCGTCGGCCCAGCAGCTTCGTGAGTGGTACGCTAGGCGTGGGAGGTCTGGGGGTGTTGGTCCCTGCACTTACGTTCTTCGCACCGGCGGGCGCCGTGGGGAGACGTGCGGGCTGCCACACACTGCGCAACGCTGCTTCGGTCGCCTAACTGAGGCTTGGCGCGC